ATGAGGGTATAAACAGTGTTTTTGAAAGCCTAGATGAGAGGCTTCTTACCCAGGTGGCACTGAATATGGGGTTAGTGTTGTAGATTAGGAAAGGTTTCTGAGAGGATTGATTGATTGATGGATGGATGGATTTTTGCACTCGCCAGAGACAGAGACAGAAAGTGAGAAATCACCTTCCAGGGGGGATGGCCACCACAATCCCTTCTCCTCCACTCTCCTCTCAGGATTTTGGGCAGGCACACACATGCATTTGCTGTGAGTTTTAAGCCACCAGGTCCGGGACTCGAACCACGGTCCACTATGTGGGAGTCCAGGAACGTAACCATTATGCCATCTGCTGGTCCCATGAGGTTATATTTAAATTAAATTTTGAGAATAAGGAATTAACTAAAGAAGTGGTTTCTTGGTGAATAGCATGTTTACAAGGTATAGTTTTGACACTTTTTATTTAACCTTTGTTATTATATACCGTCTCCAAAATTGGTATCTTTGAACGCTGTTGTCTGTCTTAGGTTAAACACTGTGACAGCAGATAGTCCCTATACTTTCTAGTTCAAATCACTCTTAGTGTCTTGGTCATTTTTTCAAAGTACTCCTAGACCAAAAATATACCTAAGAAATACCACTGAATAGTAAGATCCAAACAACTTGATGAGTACTTATGTCTTCATATAACCATATGAAGAAACGATACACATAAATTGGGGGAAAAAATGTCATTCTTGGAGCTGACCTGATAGCCTAGTGGTTAAAGGGAGCCGGATCCCAGAATTCAAATCTGCGACCCGGCAGCTTGAAAAACGCATTAATGCATGTGTGAGCATGCCTCAAATCCCGGTAGGATGAGCAATAGAGAAAGGACAGCAGTGACCACACCCCACTGGAGGGTGCTTTCTCCCCCACCGCCCCGTCTTTTTATCTTCCTCTGGTGAGCATATGTGTCTCCTGTCAATTACAAAGAATTTTTAAAAATTTATTTCATGCTTAAGCAACCACACTCACTTGCAAATGGGATGTCTATGCCTGTTGGTCACTGCCCAATTTCTCGAACCTTGGAATGAGACTGGATAACATCATGCTTATCCTGTTGTCCATGGATTCTCAGGCAGTACTTGTTTTTTTTTTTATCACAGCAACCACAGAAAACACAGCCTTGCTAGGACATGACATCAGTGAAAGAAATGCACCACAATCTCATGTTGAAACCCTGGACTCCTTGGAGCCACTCCATGTCTGACAAATGGCAAGAATCACTGTTTCCTTTTAAGATTTAAAATTTCCTGCTATTAATGAGTTTGCTGCAGCACCCCGGGGTTCCTGGCCACAAAGCTTAGGCACTTTGGCAGACAGATGTCTGACAATACCCAGGTTTTCAGAAACACGAAGAAAACAGCAAACACAAATGGTTCGTACAGAAAGAAGGCATGGGTTCAGTGAGAACTGGCCTCAGGCAGGCTTATGCCTTGGCATGTGTGAGGTCTTTAAATGCCCTTTTACCACCCTGTGTGGAAGATCAAATCCCCAGCCTGGCTCATGACTTCACATCCGTGACTCTGACCCAGGACATCTGACTTCTGTCATCTTCCTAATAGAGAACCATAAAGGAAAGTAAAGTTAGGAAAAAAAAATTTGAATTAATTACCATAATAGTAATTAGCCGTCTTTGTATAAGACATTGCATTTCCTTAAATGTGTATATCTTTAAATAGAACTTGCCTTTTTCTGAATTGCTGTTAAACAAAAGAAAAGGGTAAGAGATGGAGGAAACAGGCAAGAATTTAGGAAAGAATATGGTGTAGGAAACATTTCCATTCTTTCATAATCAGTCACTAAAATGTATCTGGGAGCACAGTCTATTTTTAACTGGCAACAAGACTGAAATAGATCATTTAAGTTCAGGAGACTGACTTCCTGACCTGTTTGTTCATTATTCCTGATAGTAGTGGAAACTTTGAGTGGATTTTTGTTCTAAACACCAGACTTTATTTGGGAGACAAATCATGATACTGCTGGTCTAAGACCACACCCATCAAGAAGGGCAAATTGGGGACCAGCAGTTAGCGTAATGGCTATGTTGCTGGACTCCCATGTAGTTGACCACAGTTCGAGTCCCGGACCCGGTGGCTTAAACTCACGCTGGGTGCGTGTGCGTGCGTGCCCAAGATCCTGAGAGGAGAATGGAGGAAAAGGGATTGCGGCGTGGCCATCCCCCTTGGGGGGTGATTTCTCGCTTTCTGTCTCTCTGTCTCTCTCTGTCTGTCTGGCGAGCACACGTGCCCTATAGCAAAAACCTCTCCAGAAAAAAAAAAAAAAAAGGGAAAATTGAGGGGACCAGCAGTTAGCATAATGGCTATGTTGCTGGATTCCCCCGCAGTCCACCGCCGGTCACATCCC